CACTTATTATCTGGGATGAGGCACCGATGGCTCATAAACACAACATAGAGGCCCTAGATAGGACATTGAGGGATATTTTCCGAGTTAAGCATGTTGATTCTGAGTTGAAGCCTTTTGGAGGTATGACTATTGTGTTTGGAGGTGATTTCCTACAGACGTTACCTATCATCACGAAGGGTACACGGACTGAAATTGTTAATTCTTCCATAAAGAGATCTTATTTGTGGCGGTCTATGACAGTATTGAAGCTAACCGAGAACATGCGATTAAAATTGCCTCATTCTGAAGCATCGGCCAGGTTAGCAATCTCAAATTTTAGCAAATGGCTTTTGGAAATTGGTGATGGTACAAATAGTAATATTTTTGGAGAATCAATTATCCCGATACCTCTACACATTTGTGTTCCCCGTCGCAGTGATCCAATTCCTGATATTGTTGCTGAAATATATGGTCAGTTACTCTCCACTGAAAATATGTCAACCTATTTGGTTGAGCGAGCTATCTTAGCCCCTCATAATGACACTGTTGCGGCCATTAACAATTATGTATTGGGTCTATTTCCTGGTGAAGAAGTTTCTTATTTTAGTTCGGATTCGCTAGAGATTGATGCCAAGAATCAGCATGTTGAAGAAGGGGACTACACAGTTGAATTCTTGAACTCTTTAAAGATTGGGAATTTTCCGGAACATGAGTTGAAATTGAAGTTGGGGTGCCCTGTTATTCTGCTTCAAAATCTGGATAAGAGTACTGGGCTTTGCAATGGAACTCGGATGATCGTTAAGAGATTAGGTAAGTGGTTTATTGAGGTCCAAATTTTGACCGGGACACATGTTAGTGATACAGTTTTCTTACCACGCCTAAGTCTATCGGTCCACTACAAGAGCTTAAATTTCACTCTGGTTCGAAGGCAATATCCAATTGCACTGTCATATGCAATGACAATTAACAAGAGTCAAGGTCAAACATTAAATCACGTTGGCATCTGCTTGCAAAGACAAGTATTTTCTCATGGATAGTTGTATGTTGCTATGTCTCGAGTTACGTCGGAAAGGGGACTCAAGATTCTTAGCTGTGACTCTCAAGGTAAACCGGTGAAGACTATGCAGAACATTGTGTTCACTGAGATTTTTGAGTAGTGGTTTATTGATGTATTATGTTTTATTCGATTTGAGGACTAAGACTGTCAAATTTATCGGGTCGTTACAATTTGAATCTTGAGTTCTCAATTTGTCCAAATTATTTTCCTGTTTTTAACAGCCAATTATATGAAATGTGATTTATGCACACTACTTTATATTTAATTGTACCTCAATTTACTCTACCGAAGGGTATGCGAGTGTGACCGTTATATTGCAATACGAAGAAGAACTTCCATAGTCGCAACTGAACTAAACTAAATTAACACCACAACCCAGCCCACAAAACAACCCAAGCATGGTTCAGTTAAATAAAATATAGTTAGAGAGGGAAGGCCCAGCCGGATTTGTTGAAACTAAATGGCCAACCTATTCCCATAAAAAAAGGCCAACCTACACTACCTTGGGCGGATCCTTCTCCACTCCCCCACTCCCCCACCTCCTCTACTGCCCAGTATCCGATTTTTTTGGATCTTCTATGAGGTGAAGGCTGCCGCATTCCAAGCCATTATTTCTTTATTAAATACATTCATTATGATTTTCATTTCATGTTAATTAGTGGTGGTGTGGGCCGGGCCGGCCGGGTTGGCGCATCAAATAATAATTAGCAACTTTGAGATGCAATTTTGGACAAGAATTGTTGACACAGTCGCAATTAGCAATGTTGTTAAAACGGAACCGGACATTGATCCGGATTAGTAAAGGGTTCAAGGTTTATCAAATAACCGGTGGTTAATCGATGTTAAAAACCGATCATAAACCGGTGTTGACTTACTTGGTAGACTTAACAATTATTTTTTTTTACAATTATTGTTTCACTTATTAGAGATAAAATAATAAAGTGAGAATTATTAAAACTGAAAAAGCATAATTTGGGCGGCTGCTAGGTCTTTTTTGGGAAAAGTGAACTGATTTTTCTTCTCTTTATATTTTATTCTGTACTTACCTTCTTTTGTTTTTGAATTTTTAATTGCAACAAAATAAAAGGAAGGCGCATGTTTGATTTTAAGAAGGTGGGTCGTTCCCCTCAAAAAAAAAAAAAAAGGTGGGTCGTGAGTTCCGTGACACACCTGCCTCTTGAACTCTAAATGGCCAACCTTCTCCACTCCCCCACGAGGCCACAAATCCTTCTCCACTCCCCCACTATCCCACTTTCCACACACACACGTACTCCACTGCATGCGGCCAAGTAAATTACGTGTGTAGAATCACTTTCTCTCCTTTATATAATGGAGATACCACGTTCTCTCATGTTACAATTTCCGTTTACTACTTCCCATACAAAACACTTCGGTTCCATTGACCGTGCGAATTGCATTCAATATGGCGGGCCTGCCTCAATTCAATCAGTAAGTACTGCTCATGCATCCAACAAATACTACATCATGTAATTTCGATTCTTTTTCACTACTTAATGCCAAAACTTACAGTCCAATATATAGGCTTCCCCATGGTTTTATTGCTAATCTGCAATATGATGATGCTCTTGAAATTTGTGAGCGTGCCGACACCATCGATCTCATTATGTTGCAAGTGGATGTCGAAAATCAGGTAACTAAACAAATAAATTTCTTTTTAATCGTATGCCTTTTGTGGCATGCGGCATTTTATCGATTTGCTTTGACAATATTCGTTTCTGTGTTTACATCAGGGCACCTCTTTTTTGTTATCCGGACGTGTAACGAATTTGACGACGTCCTGGTCCCCTGCATCCAGAATCCATTTCGTCCACCTCACAATTGAGGACGAATTCATTAGTGTTGACATCGTCTTCCCGTCATCACAGTTACGAATGATTGTTGAATCTGTATTCAGTCATGCAGATGTTGTCAATGCTGACTATATGGCCCTTCTGAACATGCTTGGAGAACAGACATTTGAAGTCATGGTCACAGTCGGTCCCTGGAACGATGCATTTGGTTATTGTGAACTTGTGTTGGTGAAATTATTTTTGCCTTTGTTGAATTGAGTACCATGTCATGAACAATGAGACAATGTATTGAGTTTTCTTATTTTGGACTTGCATGTTATTTGTCGTAATACTCAACTAGATTAGATTTGTGATTAGTAAAATTTCATGTAAGTATTTTTATTGTGATTAGCTAATCTTCAAATGTATTTCTAACTTATTATGAATGTTCATTCATATTACATGTTCGTCTTCAACGAATTGCAAAATTGCAACAATCTTATGATAATATAAAACAAGACTCATTTCTCGACACTATCATTATAGATATTGTAACTCCATTTTCTTAAACAAATGCGGCCAATGGGCCGGGCTATAGGCTAGTTTTAATATAGATAATCCATCAATAATGAAATCTATATCCATACCAATAGGATACTACTCTTCTTCGAATAAAATAGTTAACCAATCAGCGAGAAATTCATCTCTCATTTGTTGCGCAAATAATATTTCACCTATTCTATTGTTGAAAAGGTTTTCCCCATAATACCTGTTAAAACAGGCAATATCAACACTATACAAATCAATTTATATTGTGTGTTCATTCCTATTTCCACCAGCTGCTCTCGTAATTTTTCAAGAGAACAAACCTCATAGTTCTTTTAGTCTTTTACGTTTTAGACTTTTAGGTTGCATTGTTCGTTTTTCTTTACAAGAGAATTATTGGAGCTAGAATTTATAGGCTAAATGTAGAGTTGTGATTTGAATATGTTCATCTAACCCATTTTCTCAATTACACACAATCTTATAATAAAATAACACTGGGCCGAATGACCAAAATCGATAAACTCATAAGGGTTATACTAGCTCTGAATCCAGAGGAGGGCTGAGTCGTGGCCCGGGATGGCCACCCCCTGGATCCGCCACTGATTTTAATCATCCAGTTTACATTAGGTTTTGAAAATACTAAATTCAAATTCCCTCTAAAGAAATTAGAGCCCTACGATTTGTTTACAACTCGATTGGGTCGGGTGAACTATACTCTTAAGTAAAAATTCAACCCAACACTGTTAAAATTAGATAACTAATTATAATTCAAGCAAATAAATCAAAGTGAAAAACATCAAAATACATAGAAGCTGTAGTTTTGATCTTGATGAAGTGCAATTTGCTTCAATATGTCTAGTATTTTTCTAAATGTACATTTACCAAAATAAGCTAAAGACACTATTCATTATAAGCTAATGCATCCATAATATGTTATTCTCTTAAAATTGTATACACACAGGAAAAACAACGTGAATCATATTCTATATTAAATATGTATAATACGACAAAATATCCTATTCCTCGCAAATATCTTGTATTCGACATATATAAGTTTTGGATATGAACACTTAAGATAATAGTTGTAACATTGGTTGGGTCGGGAATCTATGGGGTGCATAAACCAAAACCTTCACCCAACCCAAGAGATGCGGGTTTCAATAAAGAAAACAGTCACTCAATCTTAAACCTTATTTTAGCGATAAGTACAGGTGTGTGGAGGCTGGTTGGATGGGTGGGTTGGGTTACAGTTGTTTTTGTCGCTCCTAGAAAGGAAGGGAGACGATATCGTTTTTCCTTATTAGAAGAGGAATAAGAAGAACGAGTACGTAGCAAAATACTGATGGAAACATTAGGAATTAGTAGTAATTGTTGGTTTATTATTTGGATTATTATGAATGGTTTATTGTTAGGGAGGGAGTATTATGATTAGGTTACTATTTTGGGGAGTAAAGGGGATGATTGCCGATTAGCATAAGCATAGGTGTAAGCCAGGTTTATGGTTAAACATAATAAGAATAGTGAAATCCTAATTCTCTCTCTCTCTGTTCTTCCTTTCTCAGGTTTATGGGCTGCTGCCAACTTCGTCTGAGCATTAGATTGCGACGACACGAAAGGTAAAATCAAAGATGCCTGGGTATGAAAACATCATTCATAATGTGACGTTTGGGAAGGCAGAGATGCGAGATGAGGAGGATGAAGAAAGGAGTTTGATTGGTCATGGCAGGACTAGTGCGTGGGCTGATCATCAGATGGTGGAGGATCGGTCGGACCGGTTCGGCAGAGTCGTAACTGGGTGGAATGGTCCAAACTCATTCCTGAACCGCGCTGTCTCTAGCCAAGAAAGTGGGCAGGACGGCGCGAGAGGGGCTGGGAGGCGCCTACCTTCCCTAGGGGGCGGCTCGAATGGAAGATGAGACCCTGCACAGGCAGCTGTAGTTTGAGCAGGGAAGCAGGGGAAAGGAGATGAGTAGACGGGAATATTGTGGTGGTAAATGGGTATCGGAGCAGGAGCTGAAACGACCGCAGGGGCACCATCGCACGGTTGCGTCAGGTATGGTGGGTATGGCTCAAATTATGAAGGGGGTGGAGACCTGGTATTTCGAGCTAAATCTCCAACCATCGAATTCTCAAAATTCAATGGTCAGGAGGATGTTGAGTTATGGTTTTATGCAGCTGATAGGTGGTTTAAGAACCATGACGAGCGGGAGGAGAGGAAGGCCTATCTAGCGTCCATATACATAGAAGGCGATGCACTGCAGTGGTGAGATTGGTTGGAGAGGATGTACGCGGAGATGAGGACACTCGTATCGTGGTCTCGATTCTAGGATGAAGTTCGATACCAGTTCGGCAAATCTGATGGATGAGCGCCAGAGCAGCTGGCGAAGTTGAGGCAAACAAGAACATTTTATGGTTATCGGGCGGAGTTTCTTAATTTGGGAAATCAGTGCAAGGGAGTGCCGGAATAGACTTTGGTTGGGCTGTGCATGGGAGGGTTACGTTCGGAGATTGTTGTGTCAGTGAGGGTTTTCAAACTTGACTCGTTAAGGTCTGCTTTTTGTTTGGCAGGGCTCAAGGAGGAAGAGACTGCGAGCTGGAGAGGCGCGGTGGGGCGATACCCGAAGGTGGGTGGAAGTGGCTGACCGGGCAGAGTGGGCATGGCAGCGGTGAGTGGCAGAGGAGGCAATGTGAGCGATGCTAGTGTAGTCACAAGGAACGTCGGGGTTACGGGACCGGGCACTACTCGAGCCGATATTCGTGCACCGTCAAAGGGATTCGTTCGCCTGACTCCTATAGAGATTGATAAGAAGAGGAGGGATGGGAAATGATTCAACTGCAACGAGAAGTTCATTTTTGGGCACCAGTGCGCGAAACCAGATTTGATGTTGTAAGTCGAGTTTATGGTTAAGCATAATAAGAATATTGAAACTCTAATTCTCTCTCTCTGTTCTTCTCATTTCCCAACTGAAACCCTTCCTTCTTCCCAAAGGCTTCGGCCGAACCCTCTCTGCTTTCCTTAACTTTTCTTCTTTCAATTCTCAAACCCTAGATCAATCTCTAATTGATCTACCCAATTCCCAATTCCATCGCATATTTCGCACCCTAGATTCCAAGGTCTATCAAATACACTGAATACTAAACCCTGAGAGAGTGTTTGGGTACATGTATTTAAATGCATGTAATTAAAATTTGTTATTTGGATATTCATTATTAAATGTTTGGTATTTCATTTTTTTCATTTTTTCTACTTTTTCAAAGCTTTGTAAATTTTGGATAATTATATTTTAGCACCCAAAATTATTTTTCTGAATAGATTAATAAATAAATTGTATTTTTTGTACCAACAAGTCAATAAATTTTGGTGGAAGATGCTCAAACAACTAATTGAAGCATGAAATGGCCAACCTTAGGCACTTATGGTCCTTCGCGACCCATTATAAGCATAGTTAGTGAATACTTCGCTTAATATGTGCTTATATGAACATACGTATTTTATATGTTTAAAACTTTTATTATACTGTTGCCAAATCGCAATGTTATTAAGACCGACCCGAGCCGGTCGGTCTGGCCGGTAAAACCGGCACCCGGACGCAAAATCGGTCCGGATCAGTTTTAAAGCCGTAGCGGTCAGATGGCCGATCGGTGAGCGGCCGAAGCGGTTAACCGCTCGAGCCGCTCGAACCGCCTGCCCAGTTATTGGAGCCGACCGCTTGATATTAAAAAATATGAAAAAAATTGATGTCGAAGGTCGACGCCCTCCCAAGCACTGCCGCTTTTTCGAACTTCTTTGGACTCAGCCCGGCGACCCAGTGACTGACAAGGCATAGCCGGCGGCTTCAGTGAAGAAACTAATGAATGACGAGGTGGAATTCAATTAATGTCCCAATTTTTATTTTTGTTTTGTTGTTTGACATGGGCTTTCGGGTTATTTCAGAAGAGGAAGGAGGAGAGGAAGAGGAGGTTGGAGAAAAGGCGGAACAAAATAATTGAACAAATGGAAGAGTTTCAGAGCTGATGTGGAGGAAAGGTAGAGGAGAGATTGGAGAGGGCGGCCGCCTGTGGAAAGTTGGCGAGGTAGGGTTTTTAATGGCCTTTTATATAATGTCAAATTACTAAATCATACATGTAAAGTAAGTTTCATTTTACTCATTAAATTATTACTTTATCAGTCTTTTACTTATGATAATATTATTTATAAGGTACCGGTTCTTTAACGGGTTTTTAACGGTCAAATACCGGTTGGACCAATAAAGTGCAAGCCGTTCATGTTAACAGGTCAAGCTCCGGCTCGGCTCTGACAACATTGCCAAATCGTTTCACTTTTTCTCGTTCATTTTATGATTTCCGTACTAAACACATGTAAACTCGTATAACATGTTCAGTACTCGTATTTAATGAAATAAATTGGTAATTTGAATATTATTTATTATATTTATTTTTGAAAATAATTAATTTCTTATATAACCTAGGTGAATGATCATTGAGACGCTTGAATTGTGTGATTACATGATCATTGAAACGCTTGAATTGTGTGCTCAATAAGTTGGTAGATGTAGTTAGGAGGGGAGTTAGGAGACATGATCATCGCACTAGTTTCCAACTTAGTGATCCTCGCACCATAATTTGTCATAGATGGTCGTATTTATCCATTACAATACAATGACCTGTCGTGTTAGGTGAAGGGAACAGAACCCCATATAGTCTCTCTTTTAGGGTAGTAGGATAATAAATGCCGAATTTTATAACTTAAGTACCTCACCTCAGTGCACAGTCACCTAATTTCAACCTCTTAAGTACAACCATATCAAACATATACATGTCTTGGTACAACTATATCAATTTTACATTAGTATATAAAGGTTCTTTTCAATACATTTTTTTATATAAATTGTTTGAATAACTAACATTGTATATTTCATTTCTCTTTATCACAAAAAAATAAAAATGGTTTCCCATAAAAATGAAAAAGGAAAATAGTAACAAGAATTATTAAGATCATACAAACAGAAACAAATATCAGTTTCTCATAAAAATTAGTAAACATTTGTCTCATAAATGTCATAACTGGCCATAAAATTGGCGACACTGATTTTAGAATACAGGACATGCAGGACAGTAAAAACCGCCCAATACATACCATAATCCTTTGATTTACACTTATAAAATTACATGTCACCAACCAGAACCCTGAAATCAAACTAATCTCATAATCTTATGCCGCCACTTTAATTACATGATGATGGATGCATGATTACAAGGATATATTAGTTTTGGTTATTTTAATTGGTATTATTGTTAATTTGGATTATTATGGGGATTACGTGATTTAGAGAATAATTATGGGATATTGGTAGATGGTAAGTTGTTAGGCTATAAGTAACTAGGATTGTCCTTTGGAGAAAGGAAGGCAAAAAAACAATTAAGATATCAATCTCCAACCTCTATTCTTCTTCTCTGCCGATCTCTTTTCTCCAAAGAACCTCCTCTCTTCTTCTCTTCTCAACCCACGTCCAAACCTTCTTCCTTTCTAAACTCCATAAACCTCTTATTCTACTACTAATAACCCTTTACGTACACCCTTCAAGGTCCATACCTCCAACAAATTGGCATCAGAGCTGGTTATGGTGACGGTTTATTCCCGTCGAAACAAGAAACATGGGCAAAACGAAGGCATCACAGGTTTCGTCTGATGGAACTACCATGCAGGAAGATCTCGACACGGATATGGTGTACTCAAGGCTTGGGCATCTGGCCGCAGGTCAAGAGTGCCTGGTCACCAAGCTCGACCAGCTTCTTGAGCACGGTAAGCAAGCCGAAGCAGCAACAGGACAAGGGCGTAGTGAGCTCAAGGCTGGTTTTGACGACCTGGCCCGACTGCTAACGAGGATCTTGAATGTTGTGCAAAGTAATGGTGTGGGCGCTCCGGCCGTCACCGTTGTGCTCACGGATTCACAGAAAGCACTATCCCCTATGGGAGAGGCTGGCGGGGAGAAGAAAGGAGAGGAGGGTCTCCTTCCTTTACCAGAGAAGGCGCTCGCCAAGGTGTCAACGAATGAGAAGGCGGCCGATTTGGTTGCTTTCGAAGCGCTGGGGACGCAAATCACAGGCTGCGCTGCTAGTTGGGCGGGGGCTGCGAAACACGGTCGTTCAGGACTAGGAGAGGACCGTCGACCAGAATCTAGGCATGGCCAGAATTGGGAGCTACGTTTAGTCGACACTTCCTTCCAGGGTCGAGTCGAAGGCCTCCTTCCCCTTCAGCCGATACAGTTCGATGGCAAGGTGGGTAGCGGGGGATTTTTGTACGACAGCGGAAGTCGAGGCGACGGAAATAAAACATCTAGAATGATAGAGGATGCCTACCACGGCCAAGAGAATGATGACGAGTGGGAAGTGGTTGAGTCAGGAAGAGAGCTTAACCATGACATCAAGAATGGAGGACGCGGTGGCCGAGGAAGAAGTAGACATGAGCGCGGATATGATGATATTGGTGGGGTATGGTTTCGCGCCAAGTCACTCGTAATTGAGTTCTCCAAATTCTCAGGGTCAGAGGACGCAACTTTGTGGCTGTCAAGGGAGGAGCGTTGGTTTCGACATCAAGATCGATGTACCGGAGGAGGAAAGAAGGGCATATCTTGCATCATTTTATTTGGAGGATGGAGCTCAACAGTGGCGGGAGTGGTTAGAGCGTACCGCTGCTTATGTTGAAATTTTGATAACTTGGGATTGATTTAAGGAAGAGTTTGTTACATGTTCGGCGATACGACTGATTCTGCCTCAGAGAAACTGGTCAAACTCAAACAAACTGGTACTGTAAATGATTTTCAATTCGAGTTTGAACGACTCAGGAATCTGTGTTATGTAATTCTCGAAGGAACTTTGGTTGGATTGTGTTTGGTGGGTCTCAATCCGGAAATTG